CTATGTCACTTCAAAGACTGCTGATACATAATCGCAACAGCTGATCCCATTGCAGGGAAGGCTTAAACAGAGAGTTCATAAAACGCAATTCAACATATCTCGTCTTCCTTCCCAAACACTTACATTTCACGCAGTGCTGTGCAAAAGTCATTAGAACACCACAAGCCTTCTAATTTATTCAGCTTTAGACACAAAATTCATTTTACTTTAGAATGTATCTGTACTTTTAAAAAAAATACATGTTGCACTAAACTAACACAAACTTTGTGGTCATTGTTTTCTATTAATATGAAACTATACCCTATTTCCCCATATTGAACAGCGTGGTAGATTATAATCCTGTTTTTACATTATAATACAAATACATACATTGATCCATTGCTTTTTAGCCACCATTGTTTTTTCCTTTTATTGATACAGATTAATTGCACGGGCTATAGTAAAGTAATAAAGACATTTAAAAAAAAACTTGTCTGCCTTGGCCATTTTCCAAAATTTGAAGTTGTTGGTTTGATTTAAAATCAACAAACTACCCCCACCTACTGTACTGTATAGAAAAGAAAATCCCAGGATGGGAAACATTTTTAGAAACAATACGATTATCATAAATATTCAGAAACCTTTATTGTATTGTCTTAGTGGGGAGAATGACATACTTTAGTTTTTCATTAGCCATTCTTTTTGTTGCTTTCCTATGAAACGTGGATAAAGGCCAGGTTAAATCCTTTTAATTTATGAGCCTATAATGAGTTCAAAACAAGATATTTTTTTAAGTCAGATTTCTTGCATGCATAAAATGGACAGCTCTGGTCATATACTGGGTTTACAATTTGTAGTCAGTGAGTAGGTTGTTTTCATTTAAATCAGAATTCCAATACATCGGGGAATTGCCAATTTATATTCCCAATACCTGATGGCATAATCTGATATCAGCAGATGAGTTTTTCCAAAAAGCACCTCACAAACAAAAAGCTATCATCAACACTGACATGTTTGAAAGCTGTGTTTGGGTGGTTGGCTGAATCTATAATTTAATCCATATAATGGTCTTTTTTTAGAGCTTTAATGCATGTTAATTATATGACTTTGTTATATAATTGATAATTATAATTGATATATAATTCCTTACTTAAATTCAAATTTAAATCTTATTTCTGCATTGGCAGTAAAAGGAACTTTATCACTATTTTCTAGGAATAGACATACAGTCTGATGTGAATGTTTTACTGAAAAGTAGTATTAAAATTCTAGTCCGCCTTTTTGGACACTTAAGTTCTCGTACACTTCACATTTAAGGCTATAGATGTAAAGCCACATTACAAAAGAGTACCCATTTAAGGTGCAGACCTACATACTTCTTTCCAGGATCTTGTGTGAAATGGCTGGAAGATTTGTCCACATTACCACTTCTTAAGAATATTTTTCTCAACCCATGAAAAACCATCTGTTTTTTAAAATCATTCTAGCTAGGTAGTGCAGGTGAAAAATCATTTTCAAATCATAACTAACTTCCCCAAGAAAGCCTCCTGCTGGACAAGCTCATACATACATAAATACTGGGCACTTCAAAACACTTAATGTTTAAATCTACCCTGTTTAAATCAAATTATGGTTTTGATTTATTTTCTGTATTCAGTCAGCAATATATATGCCTTTGTAATGTTCTTACTTAGGGGTCTAGCTTGTATTTTTAATCATGCTTCAAAAATCCATTAAATGGTTCTACTGATTGTAAACAAAGCATCAAATTAAATAAATACAAAGCCCACAGGCTGTCTAGGGATCCAATTCAATAACGCTTTTTTATTAGCTGACAGAGAAAAAAGCTCTTTAGATCTATAGTGATTGCTTGTTGATTGAATCCAAATAAATAAAGCCTGACATTTGTTCAACTCATTGCATTGCTTTAAAACTTAATTCTAAAAGTTTATTCAATTGAGCTTCATCAACAGAGCTGAATTATTTAGCGAATTGAGTGGTCCCCTGGAATTTGCCATGTTGCAGATTGACATACTGTTTTGAAAACTGTATTTCTTTTCATTTTCATCTAGTATTTTTATACAATATAATTATGTCCTGGTGAAATCTGGATTTTGCCTTCCCCAAACAATTCCCAACCTTGATATTTGCATATGTACACTATGATCTTCTATAGGCAGTAATTTGTTTAATCCTTAAAGTAAATTAATATATTTTGAATCAGACTGCCATCTAGTGATTATATAGATACAGTATATAAAGTATTGGATTATCTTTTAACATACTGTTAATAATACAGTATGTTAGCAATCCTATTGCATTTTTATATATTTTATATTTTATAAATATATTTTATATTTTATAAGGGATTCTGATATTTTTCTTTTGAATGTATAGCCCATGATCTTGAATTCTAATTTTATTTTTGCCATTTATGTTTAAAATAGGACAAAAATGTGCCTTATTAAGAACTACTACTAAGAAACATTTCATTTCATTTTAAAACTAAATGTTGTTCAATAGATTATGTTATTATATAATATAATAAAATGTTAATAAAATTGCTATTGCAGTTTTAGTTATAACCCTTAAAAAACAACCTATTTAAAATATACATAAAACATATATCCTTTAATTTAGCTGTTCACCTCAAAAGAATATATAAATCACTACTGATTGAGCTTTCATACCTATATAAGACATATACTACAGCATGTTGTATTAATACGTATTAAAGTGTTCTTTTAAGTGCAATTGGGTCAGGTTTTTCCACAAAGAAACAGGATCAAGGATTTACAAGGTGACACTATTTTACAGTAAATATGGAATTTGAGTATAAGAAAGCTCCAGTTTAGCATAATTAAATAAGCCTTCATATGGCTCATGTGTTCACAAGTTTTTAATGTTTAACTGGCTTCCTAAAATGAGACAGAAGAAGGACACTATTTAACTATATATTGGAGTTTCACCACAACTTGCAAATCAATATGCTGGTGAGGTGATTGCTGGTAAAGTAATACATTATGATTACTTACACCTTTATAATAGATAATATTTCAAATTTCGTTTGACTATGCAGATTTCAAACTAAGAGAAATGTTTTTTTGTTTTTAATGGGTAAAATCAATCAAACCAAACACAATTGTATCCTTTTCAAAATTAAAATACTGTGATAAAGCCTAGTACCTTAACACCACTTTGGTATTACAAAGAACACATACAGTACATAAACTGTATATATATAGTATATATCAGACACAACATCAGCAAAATTCTATTCCAGCTCATGCAGCAGTAAGCTCTTCTCTTTAGATACATGGCTTAACAAGGCAATCAATTTATTCATCGCTGACGAAATGTAGAGATACAAAAAGCACTGACTGGCAGTCTCCTTTATTGTAATGTTAACACTTCTCGTGAGCTGAAGAAATTTAAAAACACAGTACAGTATACTCCTTAGAAGAGTAGAGACATGCAATGATTACGTAACTTAAGAAAATAATAAAATAGGTCAAATAGGCTAGAAGGAGCCCATGAAAATGCTACCTAATTTTTGTACTAGCGTTTATAAAAGCATTTTTGGTGCAAAAAAACACATTAAATTAATCCATATCAGAAAATATGTATACAATAAAAACAGATTTATGTGTAACTGTTTTGATCGAATAATAATAATAATAATAATAATAATAATAATAATACATTGACTTTAAACTCTATTCGGTGCTATTAGTGACAGAGTATTTTGCATGAATCAGCATCCTCTTGTCACAATGGCATGGTGCAGTGAAGCCCGCAGAGCCGCAAAGCTTGATTTTAAACGGAAATGGCCTACTACTGGGTAGATAAAACGCAAAGAAACGAGCTGATCGTTTATCTGAAAGCATATCCGTGAACATGATGCTGTAAAAAAAGGTTGCAGTAATAACACTGTTGGTTTGTCGCGAATGAAAGATTTATGGGTTTATATTTAGAAATTACTATACAGTACTTCTTCCCAAGGAGATGCGGTATTTTTGGAATGCGGCTACAATAATTGATCTGTCTCTCGGTAAGAAGCCAGACATAAATGTACATTTTCAGATCATTAAATGCAGTGTGTCAAGACGTGTGTATCAGTGTCACTGGCGTTAATTTTATTGTTATTTATCACAATCCGTAACTGCTTGCCATTACTGGGTGTTCGAATTTGTAACTTCAGTTTTGGGGTCTCCTTGCTATTACAGGCCCGTTCTTAAAAGAAAACAATGTTAGGTTTAATTTAGATGTACTTATGAATTGAGCTTTTCTTTAACTGCATATACTGTATACTGTAGCTTCCGATTAAAATCTTCCACTGGTCTAAACCACTTAACTGCAACTGTGATATGACTCTTTTTTTTTCGAGATTGCACTGGTTTTATGTAATCTTGCCACTGAAAATACCGAAAATAATGGTTTCCTCATTATCTTCAGCTCATATTCAGAGAAGCCATTTCTTACTGTTACTGTGGTAACCAACTTTACCTTGATCTCTCTCAAGCACAATTACACGCTGTCAAGCCGCGAAAATGGAGATTTCCAAATGCTTGTGCAATACAAAATGTAATAAGCTTTTAATAATAAGAGCAAATGATACGACAACGTCATAAATATAAAACGATACGAACATGTTAATGGCACGTGTTTTATGGTTATCCTACGGATAGAAAGATCAGTGGTTTTCCTAACCTGAAACACAAACACCAATTATATATTGCAACAACTAATAAAGCCTACTTGTAGAATTACAACGGCATCAGGCTAAACTGTCTTTGTCAACATGGGGAATCATTCTTTTGAATACAACACATCTGCATTGGGAAAATATAATTGCGAAATACGTAACGTTATCTCATTTTGTACTGAAATTGTCATTTTAATTACGCGAAGACATATAAAGTACGCAAGTAGGTTTATGGTCACACCCACAGAGAAAATATATTTTTCATTTATAAAATTCATATACTGGTTTAATCTTGACGAGTATCTTAATTACTCACAACAATTGGTGACAGCAAAGCTGTTTGCTACTTCCAAATTGTCAATATGGGGCGTCAGTCTAAACTCGGATGTGCCGAATTGGACCATTCCTATTCGAAATGCACTGTATTCCTGATCTGCACCCCTTGGAAATAATCCCCCTGTGGAAAACAGGAAAAAAATATATCAGACAAGGAATTTTAGAACAACGAGTGATCATATACTTAAAATGAGCAGGATTAACTCTATTTAGGCGAAAGTAAATGTGTATTTTACAATGCATTTAATTTTGCGAACATTTAAACGTTAACAATAAGATATAAATTAAACGTTAACAATAAGATATAAATTAAATACATGTTTCACGAATCACCATATATCGGAATGCTGCATGCTTTGAATGTTAATTTAATCCTGTTAAATTGGGTATTTATGAACTGATTTTACAGTTACCCATTTATCTTTATTTTACATACCGATTTGTACGCTGGGAGAGCCTCCAAACACCAGTCCCCATAAAACAGGAAGAAGGAAGAGAGATATATTCATAATCTTGTGCATTTCCAAAGAAATATGACCACATCCACCGAATATTCCCTCGTTAAATTTCTCAGAAGAGTAGTCCCGATTAGATCCTATTCATAGTGGTGATGTAAAATTGAAAGAAACCAGATTTTTATTTCTGATGATAGTTAATTTCGAAATTCCTAGTTCCAGTTCCAACAATAATATAACGGTTTAATGCAGATTTTTCCCCTTTTCTTCCTGGCGATGTTTGTCCCACTGTATCAGTACCTTCGCTCACACAAGAGCACTGCACTTCTTTTCACTGCTCACTGGAGCTCTCCTTCCAGCATCACGGACAAGGGAGGAATGTTAATGAGGACGTAAAGGCACGAACATCGTCGAGCTCACATTATGTATTTATCTTATTACCTTGAAGCATACATATATATATATATTATATATGTGTGTATGTACAGATAGGTCGATTTAAATACGATAATGGCATTTTAATTATACTTATTTGCACTATAAAATGTATTTCCTGTGCTTAATTTTTTTAAGGAGTGGGTGTTTTAAGTGCACTCTCCTGAATTATATTTATATGTGGGCAGATTTTGAATCTTTGTGGGTTGGACTGTCATCTAAGAAAGAGAACACGCTTTTGTTTTGTATATCTTTAGGGACCTCGAAATATTATTGCTCTTAAAAATCTAAAGAAGGTTTTGTAGAATTAATCAATATTGATAAAACCTGTTTGTAATTTGTGACTAAAAGATTACGAACTATAAAGACTTACAATAATAACTGGTAGACATTTTGTATCTACATTTTTTTCACTAATAGTACTACCCATATAACTCTAATCTTTAGTCAGTGGTAGATGCCAGTGAATAATTTGTTAATGCTTGATGTCCAGGTCTTTTAAACCATGAAGTCAATGACGTTAACATTTTAAGAAGTGTGTCACACCCTGCAAATTGTTAAGTAATGAAATTAGGTCTTATTAAAAAAAAAACCATGGTGTTTGCTAAAATAGCAGTGCTATCTCCCAGGAATTTACAGTTTGTGCTCAACATTTACAGTGAATTAGAATTAGAGAACTCTAAAATAGGTTGACTATTTGAGGTCAATGAGTTAATGACTATGGAAGTGCATCTAAAACTGAGAATTGGAGACACTTTACCTAAGTGGTTGTAGGATTATGGAACAAGATATCCAGACACATTGTTGAAGCCGATAATCTGGCTTCTTCATATGGTAGGATAACATTCTTGGATCAATTAACTACTAACTACAAAACAGACTAGATGGGCTTCTCAATTGTAACATTTCTTAGGTTTTAATGAACTATTTAAAAACCTTTTTGGAGAATTAGTTATCATTTAGTTACTACTGTTAAGGAAAAAATATATTTAAAAGAAAAGTGACAGGTGAAATAAAAATTAAAAATCATATTAAAAGCTAATACATTCTTTCTCCCTTTCACACCAGGCACATACTGTATAGATGCATCATATTTAGATACAATATGGACAAGAATAAGAGTTTTACAGTATAACTACAGTATAAGCCACTGCATGAGAAGGAATGTTGTGTGTTTACAGTACATAACATCAGAAAATGTAATTTAAAGAGAACTAAGCAATGTAATGATAACATAAATATTGTATTGCATATAATTCAATATTAAAACTATATTGTAAAGAAAATGATATCATGCATGTTCCAATGTATTCCATGTCCTTTTAGTGCTTTGTTTTTTAGGACCATATACTGTATGTAGAATGGCTCCACACTCTTCATACAATATGTCAACTTATCTCTTTAAAATGAGTTTGGCTATTTCATTAGGTAAACACAGGAAGTTCAGAACCCTGGAGAAAGCAAAATACAAGAGCTTGGGGCATTACTTGGTGTAGTATGCATTTTCAGTACCATGGACAGAGGTGCAATGTAATGAGATGCCACGTGCAAAGGAGATATACTGTACTGCTTTAAGAGAGTTCTTCATTGCAAAACAGCGATAAACAATTGTTGCTCACAGAGACAACTCAATCAGGTCTGAGGGGTTCTTAAAGACAGCAAAGTTTTAGCAGATCTGCTAAAAGGTACATTTAAGAGTCAACCTGGCTATGTTGAGCATGTGTACCAAATTAATTTACAAAGACACTTAAACTTCAACAGCATCTAGTAAATTTAGTGTCTTCTCCATACAGAATTAAGGTATTATAAATGCAAAGATGTCTTAATAAAAAGGAAAGTCTTCTTAGAACTGAATTGCATATCCTGAAGACACCCAAATTATGAGCTCCTTGGGAAAGAAGAAAAAAGTTTTTATTTTTCTTGTTTTTGCAACATCAAATAATGAAAACCTTGTGATAGTTTGGTATCAGAGTTGTAAATTTAATTTCAGTGAAGGTTGATATAATTCCTCAATCTACAGTGACTATAAAAAGTATTCACCCCCTTGGACTTTTTCACATTTTTTTGTGTTACAGCATGGAACCATGATGTACTGTATTTAACTGAGAACTTTTGCTACTCATCAACACACAGTACTCTATAATGTAAAAGTAAAAAAAAATCCAGATATTTTACTAAATTAATTAAAAATAAAAACCAGAAAATAATTGAATGCATAAGTATTCACCCCCTTGCTTTGACACACCTAAATTACCTCTGAAGTAACCAATTTCTCCAAGTCACATAATTACTTACTTGGAGTCCATCACATAATACTTTTCACAGACACTATATGAAAAATGTGTGGATTCAATTTATGATAGTAGAGTACAGTGAACTGATGCATGCATGTGTATGCCTTCTTGGAGAATGGATTTGATGCCCCTTCTCTCTTTTTCCCATATATCTTATATTGACTATACAGTACATCTCAAGAACAAAAGTATGTAGTTACTTATATTAAGAACGATTTGAATTCATTAAAAGCTCTGATTAGCAAGTGGTCTGCTTGGATATTTAAGTGGCTAGCTTTAAGTATCCAAAGTTTGTCAGTCCAGATATCACCATGTCCAGAGAATGCTCTGCTACCCTATAACATAAGAGTCTATGCTGGCCTTGTTTATACCGGTGTCCATTCTATAAATCTGTTAAATCGTTCCTTAATTCCCTGCTGTTTATTTCTCATATTGATTTCCTATACCAAAAATATTTTAAAAAATCTGTATTTTTCAACTGTCACAATTTAGCAGAGAAGACCCTATTATTAATTACTTTAATTGACATGCAACTATGAATATTCAAGGTAGCTGTATCTGTGATAACATGCACAGTCAGTAAAAAGGGGAAATAGTGTATTTTGTCAAATTAAATGTACTATGCCTTAACCTCACTTTTAAGTGACTTGATCGACAGGTGCTTTCACTCTTCACAGTTGTATTGGTTTCCATCTTCTTTTCGTACTAAATGTCTAATCTGACTGAAATGAGCCATAACTATAAGTCATAATTAATCCAACTTTGACTTGTTTCCTGAATTAATATCAAATTTATACCATTTACATTAATTTGTCTGCATGTATTTACATTGAACTTACCTACATGGTATTTACACTACAACTGTGCATTTATGTTAAAGCCTATTTGGGAAGACATACAGTTTTAAGATCTGTAAAAGGTACAGTAGTTTTCAGTCACCATTAGCTTTATGTGAAGGAATCTTCTAATATATACTGCTTAGTAGTAAACGTCTACTGTATGTACAGTAGACATGCATTATTCATAAAGACCCAAGAACGTAAGAACAAGAGGAGGCCATTTGCCCCATCTACCCTGTTTGGAAGTTATAACTTTACTGCGCACACATACTATACTTTAATATTCTGATATCAAGATAAAAATGTTAAATATTTTTGTGTTCATATTATGAAAATGTAAGACAACACACAAGCAGTATAAAATGCAAGCCCAAGTTACAAAGTGCTCTTGGTGGAAAAAAAAAATCATATCTACAAAAAGAATCACAATGAAAAATACCAAAACACAATAACCTGAAAAGAAGTTTTTAAAGACCCTTCAAAATATAGCATACTTAGAAAAATAATAGAAACAACTCTGACTGACAGCTGTCCATTTCCATCATTTGTGTTGCTGTCCACCCACTTTTCCAGTAAGAGAAATGTTTAATGCTAAAAATAGCTGATGCTTCTATACAGTATATTAAATATATTAACAATGACATACATACAGGTACAGTACATTACCTCTAAGTCAATATTGCTATGACTTACAAACATAAAAAGTTAGAGGGAGGATATGAAGTGAGAGGAGGATATCCTGCCATCTTGGTAGGTCTTTGTAAATCAATAGGTGAAATAGTTTTATAACAGAATCCATTGTGTTTTCTTATTTATCTGCTATAGTGTTCATAACATATTTAAAATGCTACAATGGTATCACTATCTATTATATACTGCACCAATACACCCTTCACAGGGTGTGACACTTTCTAATGGGTTGACTGACAAACAATGACTTTGACATTGTACTGTAGCATGTAATTATAAATGCAACATTTCATTTTTACGTGGAACCTATTATTCTATAGTGCATAAATTATAGTCTACATTATACGTTTTCCTTCATTTCCATAATTATTTTCAATAAATGTTTCAGCTCTATTCAAAATAGAATTCTATTATAGCAACATTTGCTGTTCTGCAGTCCTTGTGTAATTAATTATCTTCTTTTCTAATTTAATGATACAGGACACATTACTTTTGCTTAAATGTATAAATGAAAACTGATATTGTACAATGGTAGTGTACCTTCTTAGTTGTGTACAGTATTTTGCTGTATTTTCATGATTTTCATACTATTTCAGCTTAAGTGAAAACAGCTCTGCATGTGCATGTTGGTTGTTGCCATGACAGAAGACAATAAGTTAAGATATTAAGTTACTAGGTTACATTAGGTGACTAGGTATCTTAGAATGCCACATTAAGTTTCATTAAGTCTTACTTCGTTGAAGGATGTTTAATAATATTAAAGTTCTCAGAGAACCACAGTGCTTTCACAGTGTAGTTTTCACTAAGCCTTTCTGTGAAAAGATGTGCTTGAAATAACAATCCAATATCCTTTCAGTTCTTTCTCTGAAGTCATTATTTTTCCTTTTATTTTCAAAGATTGGGGCATTGGCAGTGTGTTGCCTTCCACAGTTTTGACTTGTGATTTTGTTTAGCGGCTCCCTCTTGTTTGACCTAGTAACTGTCAACACAGTTTATTACTAATATTATTCTTAATTTTATACTTTAGAGCTCCCTATATCATGCTTCAATGGTATTGAGAGCTTTCAAGTCAGATTTGCTTATACTGTATCATTTTTGTATTATTGGTTCATGCCATGGCTTGCCATGGCTTAGATCATTTTAAATGTAAAGGCAACACAATATTT